AAAAAGTTAGTAAATCCTATAAATTATATAGATGGTTTTCTTAAAAGATGATCCATAAATGGTGAAATCGTTCAAAGTAGTATATCTGTACCGGTTTTGGCTCACTTTTTGACTGCGAATTTTTTATAATGAGAGTCGAACCGCGCTTTACCCGTCGGCTATCACACTTATACGATAGTATACCGAAACGTTGCGTACTCACGATCTATTATATCAAGAGACGGTGGGTAGACATGCGTGCATATGTTGTTGAACAAGCAATAAACAAAACAAATAACAAAATAAAAAAGTGCTTTTCAGTTTGTGTTACTTTGTAAATGCGATAGATTATTATTTTTATTATTTATTTAAATTTAATTTATAATGACCCCATGGTAATGTGTCTATTTTATTTTCAAGAATAAATCTCTTATTATCTAATGCACTTAATGCTACTTTTTTTTGAGTTATTGTATAAACCTTATGTAATTTGGAGCGAAAACTGTTTTGTTTCCGCACAATTGTACAATTTTTTGCATTGAGACATCTTAAATAATGTTCAAATTTAATATTCTTCTTTAGTACGTATTTTTTTACGCCCTTAGCTTTCATTGTTTTTATTATCGCCGGTTTATTCAACTTCTTATATATTTTAATGGCATACATTTTGCTTCTTAAGCCAACAAACTCACTAACAATTTTCGATTTCATTTCGTCTTTAAACAAACCGGGAATTTTTTTATTTTTTTGTGGTATATTGAATAAGTTGTTCACTGGATAGTCACTTGTGTCATATCGATCTAAATTTTTTTTCATATCCTCGTAAAAACAGTCTGTCTTAATTTCATAGATGAAGCTGTCTGTATCTATTTGTTGTAAACGAGAAAAAACAAAATAATTGTAAAAAAAGATTATAAATTTAAGATTTTTTTATGTTACCTGTGTACATGAGTTGTATGTTACTCCCATATTGAGGTTTCATGTGATCATAATGAAATTCATACATTAGTATTTTTGATAAATCCAGAACGGCCATTCCAATTGATATCGGTTTATTCATATATATACGATTTCGGCACCATTCAACAGCAGCTAAATTCTCCTCAAATATTGTACATTTCTTGAAACGAGGATCTGAAATTAATTTTCGAATACCATATCGTCCCTCCCATTTCATTCTTAATTTGATATCCGTTCGATCTCGTATATTTTCCATGGTTTTACCGTAAATTGAATTGCATAGCAGTTTGAAGAAGTTTTTTTCAAATTCATTTGTTGCTTTCTTTCGAAGCTCTGTGTTTAAATCAATATATGGTTTTAACCATTGTGACTGATTGAACTTAACCGCACGATGATTTTTTTTCAGAATCAATCCTTGTTTCAATACAAATTGAAGCATTTTATAATGAATTACATAGTTTTTTTTGTTGAACAGCGTTAAAAGTAATTTTTTTTCCTTTTCAGTGTTGGGTACTATTCTGCTTTCAGCGCATAGCGGATAGTCTTTGTGTTGATCGTGCAAATGTTGTGGATATTCCAAGTCCACTTCGAAAACATAACCAGTAGTTGAATCATGTGGAATATTCAGAATTGTATTCACGTCATTGAACTTTTTGACATTTGTCCATTTGAAACCATTCAATGGTAAATACTCCATCATAGAATAACCATAAAGGTTATTCGCATCTAAATACATTATGTATTTTGATTCTTTAGTCGCATCATAGTCATTTATATATTTGTTGTTTGCTTTTGAGTATCGTTTACTGCACTGACTGATACCACCTCTCACACCTTTTTCCATAAACATGAGCATGTCAACATCTGTCAACAATTCAATCTCAACTTTCGTTTGCTTTAACATAGCATCAAACGAAAGACCTGCTGCGGTGAAATAATGTGCTGGATCCAGGTTGTAATTCTTATAGCAGGTGTCTCGAAAATTTTCGAACACATCGGCCAACAAAAGAACATCCGTTTTTAAATACAAATCAGAGTATTCACCTAAATTATTGATCCGAAATGTCTTCCACATTTTTTGTGCAAATTTATATTCTTTTCGCGATATTTTGGATTCATTTAGTTTATTATAAAATGCACTTCGCGGTGGCAAACGTTTTTCTTTCAGTGTCTTATGTGATGTAACATAATCATACGGAAAGACACCTTTTCGAAAAAGCATTTGCATCTGCTTTAAACTAAAACCACATTTATGACTTTCTTTCTGAAGAATCACTTTGTTTGTCGTTGTTAAATAAGACGATAGCTTATCGAGGGAATCAGCCATAAAACGGAATGAATCGATGAAGCGAAATCGTATTTTTTCTTTATAATTGATTTTTTGGTCGCTATTGTTTACAGTTTTTGTAAACGATATATATCGCTCATCATTGATTGGTATAATAGAAATATCTCCTTCGAAACCTGATGCAATTTTCGAAATCATAAAGTGAGAATCATAATTTGATAAATTGTGAAATACAACTGGTATGTGACGTGTTTCTTGATATTTTAAATTACACGATTGATGCGAAGGGCCACGGTAACGGCCGGATAAATGTGAATGGTCGCGGACTTTAATATCTTCGTCATCAAATTCTTCACCGCAAATATGACATTCACTTGCGGTTTCAAACATCTCTTCCTCTTCATTCGATATTTCCATTGACTCTACACTGTTCAGAATGGGAAATATGTCTTTTTCTATCAATTCCAATTCTCGGACGAACCATTCTATACAATCACTTCCACGTTTACTTTTATAATATGATTGTGAATCATCATATAATGACTTGAAATAATAGCCAATACTGTACGGTTCATGTTTCTGGTATGCTTTAGTCTTTTCACTATCAAAAACTTGTTCATTGGTCTCTTTTAAATACGTTTCAATGTCAGCATATATTATAAATGGTACACGTAATTGATTCTTAAAGTTTTCAAACTTAATCGTACAATTATCTTCTGTAGGCATTTCGATTACACCATCATTTTGCGCAATGCATTTGATAAGATGTTTTTTTAATGTTCTTTTCTTCATAAAATAATTAAAACACCGATCACAATAAAACTGACGATGAGCGTTTTTGGACGATCGTAAGCTCAACAATCGGCTCAAATTTTTGATCCAACAATAATGTGATACGTGATTGTTTTCTAATAATAACAAATGAACATGATATTTTTTTACTTTTTTCGTTACACGTAGAGTTTCAACTTTTTTTGATTTATCGTTAAAAATATAAACGTTCACGGAAATGTTAGGATTTTGTTTCTCGAACTTTGGAATTTGTTTTGTATCCATAGGAAAATCAATTCCTTCGAAATTTAGTTTATCGAAGTGTTGCTTGTATTTTGACAACCGCCCAGCATTCTTAGATACTGGAAAAAGTGCTGATAATAAGGCATATTTGAAGCACTTATTGTCGTTGTTCTTCACATTTATTATGGCTTTTTTATTTTCCAAATATGCGGGCAATTTTATATAAGATGAACCCACAAGGGGTTCATACTGGTTAATTTGCACTACCAGTTCGTTGATCGCTTTCAACTTAAAACCGCTACCATTTATGATCACGTCTTCAATAGTTTTTATCGCATTTTTTATTACATTGTTTTTATCGGTGAGAATTAGTATCGTATATTCCCCATACAAATTAATTTTATCGATTCTACGAATACGACATCTGTTAAAAAGCTTGCCGATTTTTGTAACTAGTGATTTGACACATTTCATGACAGCAACACTCGATCTTTCTCTTGCACAACAACTTCTCAAGTAGTAACACGTATGTAAGTATGCTTTATTCAAACTGATATATTTTTGGTGTTTTTTATGAGTTATTTTTTCAAAATTTTATATTAAATTATATGATTTAAGAGTTATTTGGTGTTTTCAGTGTTTTTAATCAATTGTTTTTGTGATTTTTTTATTGTTTTGGATTGCGTTTTGTCTAAAATGTGTATTTCAATGTGTGTCATTTCGAATCAAACGGAATAGTCAGAAATAGTACTTCTTTTTTGTTTTCTTTTTTCAAATGATTTTAAAGTATTTATTTACATTTTCGTGTTCGAGAAATTTCATAGTGTAAATATATATGTATATTTTTTGCTATCCTTTTCCTGTTCGTGTATAAAAATTAACATGCATTCAATTTTCTACAATTCATACCAATCATAACCTCAATTTACATCAAATCAACAGCAGAATGTATAAAACAGTCTACATTATTTGAGATTTATTTCACTTTTTTTAAATTAATAGTTTTTGTCGGTTTTTGCTATATTTTCCGTTTTTTTGTTACATTTGCTCGCATTTTGTCTACAATATTTGTGTTCACGTGCGCATTTTCTAATCGAACAAAATCGTCGGAAACACCGTTTGTTTTTAGTTTTTTCTGTTTCGTGATTGTTCATCGATGTTTATATATATTTTTTGTTGTTTTTTTTTGTTTGTGTAGATTTTTTACTTTCAATCGCAATCAATTCATATCGATTATATCCTCATATTACGTCAAAACAACATCAATAGCAATGTACAAGTCCAAATTGCGTTCAAGCAAACCTAAGGCCGCTGAACCAGCTAAACCTATTGTTTCGGCCGCGCCTGCACCTCCGGTTAAAAAGCGTGGGCCAAAACCAAAGGCCGTTCGTTTCTCTGAAACCAAAACTAATAAGAATGTTGGTCAAAAATCACGTGGTCGTAATAATCAACGCTCAGTCTCTCCAAACCGTGATGTCAATTTTCCATACGGGCACAGTTACGGCTATGGTTTTGGCTATCCGAATCCAGCTCCACCATATGGGCTTATGAATTACCCACCATTCAATCCAATGGGATTTGGTTTGCAACATCATGCTATGGTTGCACCGTATGCTATGGTTGCACCGTATTCTTTGGGAAAGCGTGAACCATCCAACATATTGAGCTCTTCAACTGATGATGAATTCTATGATGCCAAAGAATGGCCAGCTCCTGCGCCAGCAAAGCGTATGAATCGTTCACATTCCCGTGAGTAATCAATCGTCTTACCATTCATTGCTTCTTTTCAAATGTCTATTGGCTTGTTTTTTGTTTTTCTTATTTATTTATTTGTTATCGTTTGTTATCGCTTTTTATGTTTCTTTTTTATCCGTACAGTAAGTGCTGCTGTTACTACGGTCAAGCCGCGTGGTCGCCCCCGAAAAACTGTTGCCACAACATCAAATGGTTCGGCTAATCACACTGTGGTCAGTGGGGCATTGAAAATGAAGCCACCAGCAAAACGAACAATGAATCGTGCACAATCAGGTTAGATATTGCTTTGCTTTGACTGCTTTGACTGCGTTTGAGTATATTTTCATTTTCTCTTGTATTGTTTTCCCCGTTTTTAGTGGCAAGTCGCATTCAATCAAGCGATGATATGGCAAAACAGGATTTACCATGGATGCAAACCGCTCCTCGTTTTACTGTCGTGGACAATGACCAACGTCGCCCCCTTCCAGATTTGAATCCGATCCGTCCGTTAGTCGACAATGCATCGCCTAATATAAGCCGTGAATTGGACGACACCTCTCCAGAAGATGAAGTTGACGTGCTTCAAATTCAACTCGATTTGAACGCTGGTCTCATGCAGCGAGTTGAAGCCTTGGAGGCTGAAAAAAAGGAAATGGAAGAGGAGGTCAAAGCGCTTCGAGCTGCTGCTGATCAGAGCAAAAAGGAAAATGCGGTGTTCAAAGTCAAGCTCGCTGATTCATCAGCTGAGAACACCAAATTGAAAGAAAAGTTGGCAAAATTAAAGCCAGCCAACAAGCCGGTCGATTCAACCACAAACAAAGAAAATGTCAACGGATTGAATCAATAAAACACCAAATTCAATCAAAATCATCTCGACATGTATTGATGTGCCTGAGTCGAAACCAAAACAAAACAAAATGAATCTGTGTTAAATGAATCTCGTCAAATCAAGTTCTTTTTACTTTCTTTTTTATTTACTTAATTTTTTTACATTTTTTCACGTTTTTTATCTTTGTTTTTTAAGTAATAATTTAACTAGAGTAATTTCAAATCAGTATTTATTCATTAAAATTCGTAAAAAACATCGCAATTCATTTAAACCGATTTAAACGCATATTTTACGTATTTTTTCCGTATCATTCGGTATTTTTGAAATAAACTTCTAAAAATATATTTATATTTGTCTTTATTTTTCACACTTTTGTTAATAATGTCTCACGGAACAGGACTAATCTATTATGTTACAAATCTAACCGATCATTATTCTTCTTATGCATTGAAATCATATAATATACGTTCTCTATAGTAGTGTTTTAGATTTTGTGCACCGAATACTACTGAAAATTTTTGTCATCGTTATTGAAAATTAATATTATTGTTTTTATTTATTATTATAAAGAATCGTAAAGAATAGAATATATTACTCATACCAGGTGATGGAGAAAGAACGATATTGGAAATATTCTTTTTATGACTAGTCGCTATTACAGCGATGTAGTTGTTGTTTTGTTTTTTTTTTTGGGTAATTGTTGATTGAAAAAATCGCTAGATGAATAAAATGCGATAAAATGTCTTACATCCGTAAGATGAACTTTTCCGCACTGTGATCAACAACATTCATTTATTACTTATCTTTGGCCGTGAATATGAATTCATGAGAAATCTGAATCTGACATTAGTTTTGCGATATAAATAATTTCTGCTACATGCCTGCATGATATCGTAATGACGTTAAACTTTGCACAGGGTATTTTTTTCACACAAAAATAACATTCTAAAATTTGAAGAAATTTTAATACAATTTAGGGGAACTTCCACACAAAACTTTCGTTTTCGACCAAAAAATTGATTGCTAAGATTGTGTATTTTGGCAAGAAAATAAGATTCACAAGTTTTTGTGGTAAAATTAGCAGTCAAATTCTGTTGACATTAAGACAAAAGATGGACAAGAGAGAGAGAGAGAGAGAGAGATAAAATAAACAAAGAAAGGGACAAAATACACACAAAACAAATGATTCGTGTCAGTTTGAATGCGTTTGAATGTAAATAAAAGACTGATGCACACACTAGGACGGACCTAAAATATGCTATTATCTGATAACGATTTTTAAGATTGAGATTTCATTGAACGTTTTGAATACGTTCCAATATCATACTTATGGAATGAATAAATTAAATACTATTTCATTTTGTTTGAACATATATATTTTTATCGTTAGAATAAATCATACGGTAGCGTACATTTTTTTCATTTAAAGAAAAACATACGTTTTTTACGGTTTTTTATGTGTGGCAACAATGGCGATATAACAGAATAAAATTAAATGATAAAATATGGTCGATTATATAATTGATTTTGACTCAATCGTTGAGTGTTTGTCACAACCGGGTATCACAACTTTCGGCATTATTCGTAGCACTTTCATTCACCTCTTTCTTGCACAAGCTTCTTTAGGTTGTACCGTAAGCGTTTGTCATGAATTTCCAACGTCAGTCTCTTCGCAGCTTCAACTGATTTCATTTTCATATACAATTCAACAATTTTCTTCACGAAATCATAGCGATGTACAGCGAGTTGAGCAGAACTTGGGTGACTTTCGAAGTTGGTTTCAACGAATAAAGTGACGAATGAAATTTTACGCATTATTTCAATTGCAACCGTAGCATATGGGATTGTTTTTCCTTCGTACGTTTTTAAATGCGAATTGACGAACTTGCAAATTTCAAACGTACTTTTACATGGTTGCAAAATTCCATTGTTTCGTGACTTGAATCGAATAAAACTGTCATCAAGCAATTCATTCTCGATGAATGCATCTCGACATTGGTCACATTTCACGATTTTTTTCTGTCTTGCGCCGATTATTCTCGCCTCCAACACACTTGCCATGTACGCTATTGAATGATCATGGATACTATCAACGTACACCGAATCCTGATGGAATCCACTGGCATCTTCAGGCATTTCATCAATTTCG